GTGAAATAATTTGGCAGCAGGCCGGGCGCAGTGGCTCAAGCCTGTAATCCTAGCACTTTGGGAGGCCGAGACGGGCGGATCACGAGGTCAGGAGATCGAGACCATCCTGGCTAACACGGTGAAACCCCGTCTCTACTAAAAAATACAAAAAAAAAACTAGCCGGGCGAGGTGGCGGGCGCCTGTAGTCCCAGCTACTCGGGAGGCTGAGGCAGGAGAATGGCATAAACCTGGGAGGCGGAGCTTGCAGTGAGCTGAGATCCGGCCACTGCACTCCAGCCTGGGCGACAGAGCAAGACTGCATTAAGGAAATCCCATGAATTCCTCTATGAGCCTACCTCCGCCCCATCCCAATCTCCCACATTCTTAGAATGCAGCAAAATGAAAGAGTCCTGTTTCTAGCTCTCGCTCTGCCTCTAATAGAGGTATGACTGAGATTCTCCCTTTAGTTTAAGCACTATATGTCATAAATTATTTGTAATAATATATTATTTGACATTAATCTGCAGAATTATTATAGATGACTTTTCTTAAAACAAAGACTGGTTCGGTTAACTTTAGTGCCTACTGTGTGCCTACTGTGTTGTAGTCACTACACCCCCATAAGTTATCCAATTTCACAGAAATCCAGATTTTTCAAAAATGGTTTTGGTCTTTAATGGCCTGAGGGACTGCGACTGAGGGGAGGCTGCAGCAGAGGCAGAGCACAACCAGTATTGCTCCTCCTATGCGTGTTGACTTTGTAAAGGATCCAGGCTATTGGAAAAACTATTATGTTTAGGATCTTTTGTTAAAATGGGTCAAAATTTGAACTCACAACTCAGGTTATTCCAACAGCCACTGGCAGTTAGGTTATTCAATTATGGCTTCACTACAATTGGCACTAAGGTCTTTTTTTTTTCTTCTTTAGAAAGAAAATGGTGGGGCAGTGGGGAAGGGGTCTCACTATGTTATCTAGGCTAGTCTTCAACTCCTGGGCTCCAGTAATCCTCCCACCTCAGCTTCCCAAAGCACTGGGATTATAGGCACGAGTCACTGTGCCTGACCTTGCATTAGGATCTTAAGCTCATTTCGTTCTCTTCCTTGAGGATTAATTTGGCTAGAACAAGTAGTATTCATAAGTGGCAACCTAAAATTAAGCATGTGATTCATATCCAGGATAAGGCAAGTTCTCTTAGGATCAACAGGGCCCACAAGGCAAACGTTTCCTCTAGTTCACCTGGATATGGGTTTATTGCAGTCTGCATGACCACATGTGTAGGTGGATAAGGAGATGAGAGGGCAATACAACATTTGCCTAGTAGCCTATATGCTTACTCACCTGTATTTTTTCAGGTTGAAATAATCAGTTAATTCAGCAAATTATTTATTTATTCATTCATTCATTCGTTCATTCAATTTTGAGACAGAATCTGGCTCTGTCGCCCAAGCTGGAGTGCAGTGGCTCAATCTCGGCTCAATGCAACCTCTGCCTCCTGGGTTCAAGGAATTCTCCTGCCTCAGCCTCCCAAGTAGCTGAGATTACAGGCACCCCCCACCACGCCTGGCTCATTTTTGTATTTTAGTAGAGAGAGGGTTTCACCATGTTGGCCAGGTGGGTCTAGAGCTCCTGACCTCAGGTGATCTATCCTCCTCAGCCTCCCAAAGTACTGGGATTACAGGCATGAGCTACCACACCTGGCCAACTCCACAAATTTATGTGGGATTCCACCTAGAACTCCAAACCAAGGTGCTCTGAACATGTATCGGTAGTATAAACAGAATCCACAGTCCTATCCTGAATTATAACCTCGTTAGGGAGGTGGCAAAATACATGACACTAACCTAAGAACATGAATAGCCATGAAACATGAATGCAAATTCATGTCATGTAAGCTGTTTAAATCCTGAGCAAGATGCATTTAATTTGCATCTATCCTACTGACCTATTATCCATGATTCTCTTGTCTCTCTCCTCCCACAGACATGGCTAGGCATGACCCATATGGTACTGAAATTTGGATTCCCAGCACCTTACCAAAGTAGCTGCTGGGAATACAAAGAGAAGACACCCCACAAATGCTGAATAAAACACTGAATGAATGGTTCTAGGTAGGTGGGGTTAATCAAGGAATTATCCTACAACTGGTACGGGTTTTTTGGGTTTTTCTGAGATGTGGTCTCACCATGTTGCCCAGGCGATTCTCCTGCCTCCACCTCCCAAGTAGCTGGGATTACAGGCATTAATTTTTATATTTTAGTAGAGACAGGGTTTCACCATGTTGGCCAGGTGGGTCTCGAGCTCCTGGCCTCAGGTGGTCCACCTGCCTCTGCCTCCCAAAGTTCTGGGATTACAAGTGTGAGCCACCGCACCCAACCTAGTCTTTTTTAATGAACAGTTATCTCTGCAGTCAAACTTACATCACATTATTTTATTTAATTTTCCTTGATTCTGTATTAAAGGAAAGATGATATTATTTTTAATGTCTGCAAAGTATTTCACTGATGGGCATTTACAGTGTTTCCATTTCCTGCTATCATAGATACTGCTTTAATGAATATTTTTTCTTTATAGTTTTTTTTTTTTTTTTTTTGAGACAGAATCTTGCTCTGTCACCCAGGCTGGAGTGCAGTGGCACAATCTCGGCTCACTGCAACCTCTGCCTCCCGGGTTCAAGCAATTCTCCTGGCTCAGCCTCCCGAGTAGCTGTGATTACAGACGCACACCGCCACACCTGGCTAATTTGTTTTGTTCAGGCTAGTCTTGAACTCCTGAGCTCAGGCAATCCTGAGGCACCCTGCCTGATCTATAAATATTTTTCTAAGAACATTTCCTTAGGCTATATTCCTAAACATGGAATTATTGGGAATTTTTTTTTTCTAATTTTTTTTTCATCTCTTCAGTATTCAAAATATTCCTAAATTCAGGCTGGGCACGGTGGCTCACGCCTGTAATCCCAGCACTTTGGGAGGCTGAGGCGGGCGGATCACGAGGTCAGGAGATCGAGATCATCCTGGCCAACATGGTGAAACCCCGTCTCTACTAAAAACACAAAAACAAAATTAGCCGGGTGGGGTGTCGGGAGCCTGTAGTCCCAGCTACCTGGGAGGCTGAGGCAGGAGAATGGCGTGAACCTGGGAGGCGGAGCTTGCAGGGAGCTGAGATCGCGCCACTGCACTCCAGCCTGGGCTACAGAGTGAGACTCCATCTCAAAAAAACAAAAACAAAAAAAACCTTACAATTTCGATATAAAGTTGTCAAACTATTTTTTTCCAGATTAATCAACTTACACTTCTACCAGCAGTATGACACCTTTTATCCCACTGCACCATCACTATAGGGAAAATGGTTTATGTAAAGGACCTCTCTTCTGTTATTTAATACCCCTGAATTTCTTACATAGTTGTAATCAGTGAACCCATACTACTTTGGGTTCTGCTTATTTCACGGGGAAGGATTCTGTATCTATCAATATAGTTCACATTCTGGCCATTCAAAATCATTCTTTAATTCTTCATTGTGCTAACAGATCCCAATAAGCTTGGTGATTTTCTTATTGTCAGAACTCAGGGTTGTTTCCAGTTTTTGCTATTAAATTGGCTATTTCTGCAACTTTGCACAGTCTCCCCAACTTTATCAAGAGTGAAACTGCTTGATCAAAGCATAGAAAATGTTTTGTAGCTCTCATTAGACATTGCCAAGTGGTTGGGCAAGGTGTTTTAAAAAGGAGTACTGGCTGTACAGAGGTGCAGCTGTGTGGACCATGATTCTTGAGCAGGGTCCAATAGCCTGGCATCTTACCTGGAAGTCAGGACATCTAAACTTCCCTATGGGAACTTGGGAAGTCCCTTCCCCATTTCGAACCTCAGTTTTCTTATCTACAAAATGAAGAATTTGGATGGAATGAATTAAATCCTTTTCTACCAGAAATCTAGCCCTATTTCACCTAGTCTGTTTTGTATCACCCTCTCCTGACTCCTAGGGGCTCAGAATCTAGCTCAGTGCTTGGGACAGTTACGTTTCCTTTCCCTTTCAAGTGCCCAAATACCAGTGTAATAAGGAAGATGGCAGAGCCTGGGAGTTCAGAGCACAGGCCAGGGTCAAATCTCAGCCCTTCGCTTACAAGCTGTGTGACAAAATAACCTCTCTCCGGCTCAGTTTCTTCACTGTAAATGAGGTTAATAGTTCCTACCTCATAGGGTTGTTAGGAGAATTAAATGGACTTAAGGTTTGCAAAACGCAGTAAGTGCTTTATAGTGTTTGTTGAAATAAATAAAATTTTAGACCTAAACTCTGGGTCTCTTTAGAACTGCAACAGCTTCGTAACTGGCATCCCCACTTTTGGGTGCGTTCCCACTCCTCTTTCTAAAACTCAGATATCTAAATGCCAAATCTCTTTGCTTAAAAAGTCTCCCAGGCCTCCCAGGCACCTCCAGGCTAGAACAGAAATGCCTGAGCTTGAAGACCCAGGTTTTTCAGGTGAAACACCTAAGGGTCAGGAGATGCTAGGGTCATCACTGAAGGATCTCAGTGTTTTTTTTTCTATATATATATATATATATATATATATATATATATAAAGGCGAACAGGGTTATAAAAATTGTGGGGTATATAACAGCCCTCCCCCAACCACCACCAAGCCCAAGAAACCCTAAATATGTTGTTCACAAGATAACTGCAACTTTCAAGGGCTCTCAGGCTTCTACTTCGGGCAGCACAATTGGCGGGACGACGTGGCGAGCAGGCAATAGTTTCCATCCCTGGAGGGTCAGCGTCTGGAGACCCCGGCGACGGCATCCACAGCCTAAAGATGATCTCCGCGACCGCCCGGGCAGCCTCGTGCACAGAAAAGCCTCGGCCCCGGTCCCGACCACCCTTCCTGCGGCCACGCCGCAGCCCTGGACCCTCCGTCCATCCACTCCTGGAGCGCGGTCCCGCCAGAACCGGTCCGGCCAGGCCCAGCACCGCAGGCCTGCACGGGAACCGCGATTCCCACCGCGGCGCCCCCTGGGAGCCAACGCCGCGACGCCCGCCTGACGTCAGGCAGTGGAATCCGGCGGCGACGCCTTTAGGGAGCCCGCGAGGGGGCGCGTGTTGGCCGCCCCGCTGTGAGTTGCCCAAGACCCGCCGGGGGGCGGGGTCTCGCTCCCCGCGCCACGAGGCTCGGCCAATGGGAACGCGCGCTGCGAGGACCGGAGGTCCGCGCCGCGGTGCTGAAAACCCCGCGCGCAAGCGGCTGGCTCTGGGCGCGCGCCAGCAAACCCACTCCTGGAGCCCGCGGACCCCGAGCACGCGCTTGACAGCCCCTGCTGAGCCGGCGCCCGGCGTCGCCAGGCCAGCCATGGCCCCCGACCCGGTGGCCGCCGAGACCCCGGTTCAGGGACCTACCCCGCGCTACTTCACCTGGGACGAGGTGGCGCAGCGCTCGGGGTGCGAAGAGCGGTGGCTAGTGATCGACCGTAAGGTGTACAACATCAGCGAGTTCACCCGCCGGCATCCAGGGGGCTCCCGGGTCATCAGCCACTACGCCGGGCAGGATGCCACGGTGAGCGCAGCCAGGCGGGGGCACAGGAGAGGGCGGGACCGGAGGCAGAGTGCAGGCGAGACAGAGTTACGCACCCCGAGCCAAACACCGACTAATTCGGAGGAAAGCCCGGAGGCGCCTGAACATACCTGTTGCCCGGTGATTGGGTGTCCTGCGGATGCGGGATGCAAAGGCGGGAGAAAGGCCCTGAGAAATGGAGTCTGGGGAGTGGGGATGGAGGCCAGCAACACGCACACACAAACAAAGGGCCCCGCCGCCCAGTCTTGCATTCCGTCTGCAGCCCCGAGCCTCAGGTCTCCGGGCGAGGGCAGGACCCCGAGCTGGGTGAGCTGGGAGGAAGGAGAGCAAGGATGCAGGCCGCCTGGGGAGGGAGGGAGTCAGTGGCCAGGGGAGGGAGTCATATCCTGTCTCGATGGCTAGGAGGTGCAGCGCAGCCGCGTCTGGACCTAGATGCGGGTCTCCACTCGCCAGCAGGAGCGGAAAGGGAGCAGGAAAGGAGCCCATTCTCGAGGATGGGGCTGAAACGGGAAGCTTGGGGAGACCGCTGCCTTGGGGACCGCTGCGTCGTGTGAAGACTGGAGGACGCGAAAGGGACAGTACTGTTCGGGGAGGGCAAGCGTCGGCAGGCGCACAGAAGGGATTGGGAATGGCATACACTTAGCGAGGACCCCCAGAGCTGTCCTCGATTCGCCGGGGGCTAGAGAGGTCTTCAGCTATTCCGCGGAGCGGGCCGCTGTTTACGCTCTGGGGCCGTAGGCCCTTCGCGGGGTACCGTCCCTTCTTCCCTTGGTCTCACTGTGGGGTCGGCGCGCGCCCCAGCCCCGGGTCTGCTGCTTCTCTTTCTAGACCACAGCCCTCAGAGCTAAGACCCCGGCGCCTCTGCTGGGTTGGAGTGCTGGGGACTCAGCCCTGGGAACTCGAAAGTCCGGGCGTTCGCTTCACCGCGTTTCCCCCTTGGCGGCCAGAATGGCGTCCCCTCCTCTTGCATCCCTTTCTGATCTCGTGCCCTGCAGCATGACGCCCTCCACTGTCCCTATCCACTACCCTGGCGTCCCAGAGTGTGCCGCGGGTCACCAGGGTTCCCATAACGTCGCAGCAGAGCTTAGACGCTGCGGGCCGAAGACCCGCCCCACCCTCTGACGCGACCAGCCTACAAGGCGAGGCCAGAGCTTGCGCGGCTCAACCACAGCGACCACTCGGGAGCACTGACGGCGGCCGAGGGCGCAGGCGTGGGCCAACGCATGCGCAGACGAAACAGGCATCAACGCTGGGGCTTCCCGCAGTGTGATTTGGGGCGCGGGATGCCGCGGCGGGGACGGCGATTGGTCCGGATGTGTGGTGCCACCGGCCGCCGGCTCCGCCCCGGCCCCCGCCCCACACGCCGAATCGCTTATTGGGGCTGCTTGACCGGTGGACGTCAATCTTACCGCTATGGACCTTACCTTGCACAACCCAAATTAGCTGCCTTGGGGCAGGAGGTGGCCACAGTGCTTAGGGAAATGTGGAGCCCTATCCAGAACAACGGTGGAGGGAAAAGGAAGAAATGCAAGTGCCCCATTTCGGACATAGGGCAGTCTTTCTCTTTGTGGTTTTTGGAGAACTCCAGCTAAGAGAGGAAAGGGACTTATTAAAAGACCCGCAAGAAGAGACGGAAGTCTCATAGCCCTGAGACGTGAAACCAGCTGAACTTCCTGAGTCTAGTAGGGATCTAGAGAACTTTTCTGTAGCTAGCTAGAGGTTTGTAAAATGCACCAATCAGTGCTCTGTAAAGTCGCACCAATCGACGCTCTGTAGCTAGCTAGAGGTTTGTAAAATGGGCCAATCAGTGCTCTGTAAAATGGACCAATCAGCAGGACATGGGCAGGGGCAACTAAGAGAATAAATGCTGGCCACCCCAGCCAGCTGCGGCAACCCCCTGGGTCCCCTTCAGCACCGTGGAAGCTTTGTTCTTTTGTTCTTCACACTAAATTTTGCTGCTGCTCACTCTTTGGGTCTGTGCCACCGTTAAGAGCTGTAACACTGCGAAGGTCCACGGTTTCATTCTTGGTGAGAGGAACCCACCTGAAGGAACCAACTCCCGATACAGCCCCACCCATCCCTCCTGTTTCTCACCTATACCGAAATTCTTGGGCAAAAGCTCTCTGTGGACACACCCAGGAGAAAGGCCAGCCCAGGCAGGTGTTCCTTGGTGGTCCCCCTCAGCCAATGCTTCCCATTCCTTGATGCACCCTTCTAACTAGAGCAGATGCTGGGTGATCTTAAACTGTGGACACCTGGGAAGGGTATGAGCACCCTCAAAAGGCAGCTGGGCCAAGGGAGATAGCCTGTGCTTCTGTGTCGGGAGTTGGTTCCTTCCGGTGGGTTCCTGGTCTCGCTGACTTCAAGAATGAAGCCACAGACCTTCGTGGTGAGTGTTACAGCTCTTACAGGTGGCACAGACCCAAAGAGTGAGCAGCAGCAAGATTTACTGTGAAGAGCAAAGAACAAAGATTCCACAGTGTGGAAGGGGACCACAGCAGGTTGCGGCTGCTGGGGGCGGGGCAGCTTTTATTCCCTTATTTGTCCCCTTATTTGTCCCTGCCCATGTCCTACTGATTGGTCCATTTTACTAAACCTTTAGCTAGCTACAGAGCATGGATTGGTATGTTTTTACAGAGCACTGATTGGTGCATTTTATAAAACTCTAGCTACAGAAAAGTTCTTCAAGTCCCCACTTGACCCAGGAAGTCCATCTGGCCTCACCTCTCACTTCAACTTGGGTACACCCTTCCGGCAGGCAGGAGAATGGCCTTTGGTGTGAACACTGCCGGAGTCCAGGGGACTGGCTCCCTCACCTTTCATCTTCTCCCCGCACTTGCAGGATCCCTTTGTGGCCTTCCACATCAACAAGGGCCTGGTGAAGAAGTATATGAACTCTCTCCTGATTGGAGAACTGTCTCCGGAGCAGCCCAGCTTTGAGCCCACCAAGAATGTGAGACCCTGTGTTTGCTATGTGGCAACTCTTGGTTGTTGAGAGGGACAGAGAGGAGATAGGACAGTCTAGATGGGATCACAGTCATAGTACTCATAGTCAGTAGTAGCTCTGGGGAATCTTGAGGTCCCTGCTTCTTTTGCATAGTCCTGAGGTCACAGGGCCAAGGGAGCATGACTTTGCAACCTATGGCTCCCCCAAGGCTGCCACTACCATGGCTTCCATCGTTGTTATCATCATCAGTATGATAACTTACTATGCGCCAAGCATAAACTCATAACTCTCACATATTTACAGATGAGATAACAGGCTCAGGGAGGTTAAGCAACACAGCCAAGGATCACACAGTTAGTAAATGGCAGAGCAAGGACTTAAGTCCTCTGAACTCTTAGGCACTATCCCATAGCACCTCCTCCTGTCATCCTCATTGTCGTGGTATCTTTGCCTAGGACTGTGGACTTCCTACAGCTACCTCAGTGGGAGGTCCTTGAGCCTGAGAGGGCCCTTGTCTCCAGTAGCGTTGGGGTGCAGATGAGAATAACAGCTCCTCCTCCTCTTCTGCAGAAAGAGCTGACTGATGAGTTCCGGGAGCTTCGGGCCACAGTGGAGCGGATGGGGCTCATGAAGGCCAACCATGTGTTCTTCCTGCTGTACCTGCTGCACATCTTGCTGCTGGATGGTGCAGCCTGGCTCACCCTTTGGATCTTTGGGACGTCCTTTTTGCCCTTCCTCCTCTGTGCCGTGCTGCTCAGTGCAGCTCAGGTGAGAGCCTTTGGCTTGTCACGTGCACAGCAATGCTCAGTATCCCTGGGGAAAGCTCCTTCGGTGTTCGAGGAAGGCCAAGAATTCCTGCCCTCCAAGTAGGGCAGATCTGAAGGTATGCGGGAGAGTGCAGGAACATGCATTCCACTGTCTTGGCCTGTCTGCTCTTTAGCCACATGGGCATCTTCATTTCTCTCACTGCCTTTTTAGCTGCTTCTCCGAGGGTTCCCTTCTTTCTACGTGGTTTGTCCTCTGCCACAGCCCACCTGTGCCAAGAACCAAATTTCTGGTTTTTTAGCAAAGCCTGGCTCCCTCCTCACCACTGACATTGCCCAACATGTTAATAATGATTGAGCACTAATTCTTGACCGTGAGGACCCATTTGGCAAGCCTTCTGCTCATGTTTGAGTCCTTTCTGTATTCTGGATGTCAGTCCATCATAAGTCATGGGCTTCAGGCCGGGCGTGGTGGTTCATGCCTGTAATCCCAGCACTTTCGGAGGCCAAGGTGGTCGGATCACTTGAGACCAGGTCAAGACCAGCCTGGCCAACGTGGTGAAACTCCACCTCTACTAAACATACAAAAAGGCACAGTGGCTCACGCCTGTAATACCAGTACCTTGGGAGGCCAAGGTGGGCAGATCATTTGCGGTGAGGAGTTTGAGACCACCTGGCCAACATGGTGAAACCCCATCTCTATTAAAATACAACAAGTGGCTGGGAGTGGTGGCGGGTGCCTGTAATCCCAGTTACACGGGAGGCCGAGGCAGGAGAATTGCTTGAACCTGAGAAGCAGAGGTTGCAGTGAGCCGAGATGGCACCACTGCACTCCAGCCTGGGCAACAGAGCGAGACTTGCTCTCAAAACAGGCCAGGTGTGGTGGCTCACGCCTGTTATCCCAGCAGTTTGGGAGGCCGAGGTGGGCAGATTACCTGAGGTCAGGAGTTCGAGACCAGCCTGGCGAACATGGTGAAACCCCTAACTCTACTAAAAATACAAAAAAATTAGCCAGTCATGGTGGTGGGCACCTGTAATCCCAGCTACTTGGGAGGCTGAGGCAGGAGAATTACTTGAACCCAAGAGGTTGAGGTTGCAGTGATCTGAAACTGCACCACTGCACTCCAGCCTGGGCAACAAGAACAAAACTGTCTCAAAAAAAAAAAAAAAAAAGTCATGAGCTTTGGAGCTGGCGAAACTGAAGAACAGAGAAGGGATGGTGATTTGCCCCAATTCACGTGTGAGTCAGTGGCAGAGGCAGAACTAGGCCCCATGTTTCCTGACTCCTGTGGTGCATCATAGGCCTTAGCAGATGAAGGAAGTGGGAGAGGCTGAAGGAGGCACAGAGGTCAGTGAAGGGGACACTGGGTCTGGTGGGCTGCTCTCAGCATTGACTTTTCTCACCTAGATCCAGGCTGGCTGGCTGCAGCATGACTTGGGGCACCTGTCGGTCTTCAGCACCTCAAAGTGGAACCATCTGGTACATCATTTTGTGATTGGCCACCTGAAGGTCAGTGGGATGGGGAGGGGCTCTCCAGGCAATGAAGGGCTGCCTTGGGGGAAGGTTTTCATACTCGTGTCCCTGCTTTTCTGTAGGGGGTCCCTGCCAGTTGGTGGAACCACTTGCACTTCCAGCACCATGCCAAGCCCAACTGCTTCGGCAAAGACCCAGACATCAACATGCATCCCTTCTTCTTTGCCTTGGGGAAGATCCTGTCTGTAGAGGTGAGTGGAGGTATCAGTGGAAAGGTCTTGGGGAATAGGAGGCAGCCAACATAGGGGGGTTGGGGAAGGTGCCCACAATGTTGTCAATGTGGGCAGGACACTGGAGCTGGGCTAGCTGGGGCTTTTGCGATTTTGGAAGTTCTAGAAGGCAACAGGCAATAAATGGGGGCTGCCCAGGAGGGAATCACCATCTTCCCTAGACCGTTCAGTCAGCAAACCGTTACTGCATAAAAGGCACCTCATTTTGCAAAGGATCCAGAGGATGACCAGAAGCATCCAAAGGATGAGATGGCCTATCCTTGAAGGTGCTGATGGCACCTCCTGGAGGTGATTTTTTAACACTCTTGTCCCAGGCAAGCATTCCCCTTGCACTATGTATTTCTCTCCCACACTTAGGTAGCCTTCTTGTCACAGTCTTCTCTGTCCAGGGTTGGACTGTCTTACTCTTCTTTGATGTCCAGTTATCTGGAACATTCATTCACTGAGTTCTTCTTCTCACCCTGCTGATCCCCAGCCTGACTTCCTGGGTGGTCAGCGTTGGGTTTGAGTTGTCATCTGAGATTGTAAGCAGAAATAATGTAGCCACTGAAGGAATAATGCCTGGGGGTGGAGATCTGGTGAACTTTTAGTGAGCATTAGGCAATGGAAGGTTCTGAAAGGCCAGCAGAGATCTTTGGAAAGTTAATTTAAAGCCCTTTGTCCCAAGCCTCTAGGCTGCAGAGTTCTTCCAGGTCCCCTCCTCCACTTTATGACGTTTCAGCTTGCCAGGAATTAATTTGTCGTTAAAACACATTTCAGTTCTAGGCATGAGTCCAAGGTAGCCTGGCTCTCATCTCGCCATGAGAATTTTGAAAGGGCTTTGGCAGCACTGGCTGGCCTGGCATGAGGAGCTCATAGCTTGAGGCTCATGCCCCACCTGTCCATAATCCTCTTATTTTCCCATCTCATGAGCATGGACTTGGGCTTGTTACATGTCCGATACCATTACGGTCAGTACTGTGTGGATGATGAAGCAGCCCTGCCCACCGTCTGACTCCCATGGCTGCTTCAAGGGCAGTGTGGTTATTTGCTGGGCAGTAGCATGGGGCTTGTGCATATCTACTGTCACTACAGAGGGTTTAAAAAAAGACATGGGCAGGTTAAGTGGAGGGGAACCGTCTCACACCACCACCTTTACTGCTTCCTGGTACTTGGGTTTTCAGGAAATTCCTATCAGCAGACATCAAAAATAGAGAATGAAGGGACACGATTGGCACGTGCCACTGGTCCCAGCTACTTGGGAGGCTGAGGTGGGAGCATCGCTTGAGCCAAGGAGGTGAAGGCTGCAGTATGATCACGCCACTGCACTCCAGCCTGGATAACAGCGTGACCCTGTGTGTAAAAAAAATAATAATTTTTTAAAAAGATTAAAACCAAAAAATATTGTAAACAGAGCTCAAGGTGACTTACAGATTTAAAAAAGTAAAATATGACAGAAACTGAGAGGTAGTCATGATCAGATATGGCCTCCTTCAGGTGCTGACATCTGAACTGAGACCTGAATGATGAAAAGGGCCAGCACTGCAAAAATTCAGGGAAGGAACATTTGGAACGGAGAGAACAGTCAAGTACAAAGGCTCCTGGAAGTTCAGGGACAGTAAGCAATGAGAAAATGAGAAGACCAGAAAACTAGGGAGGGGCCAGATCATGTAGGGCCTTAGAAAGCCATGGAAATGGTGTGGTAAGAAGTTTGGGTTTTATTCCAATAGCAATGGGAAGTCACTGGAGGGTTTCTGGTGGGTACAGCAATCTGCTTTGCACTTTAAAAGGCTTGCTCTGGCTGGAGGTGGAGAGGATGAATTATAGAAGGTAGGTATAATCACAGATATAACCTCAGAGAGGAGGCTGGAGCGAGTCCAGACTAGACCAGGGAGGAGCAGGTGAAGCCAATGGATTTGGGATATGTTTTGGAGGCAGTGTAAACAAGGCTTGCTGAGGACCTGGATGTGGTGGTGAGAATCACCCCATCCTGAGCAACATTAACTGAGGGAAAATTGAAAGAGGGGCACCCTTGTTTGGTGGGATGAGTGGGGCAGAGCCCCACCCCACCAGGGTGGCCTCCTATTGTGGAACTGTTACGGAAAGGAGCCCCATCCATTGCTTCCTCCTTGAATGGCAAATGCCTTTATGACCCCTATAACTTGCCCCATTATGTTTAGACCCTTGGTGGTCAGAAGGGTTCTATTTAGGTCAGTGTCCCCTGCCCCTCCTTGTCCTCCAGGAATTTTTGAGAGGCACTAATGTGGATGTCATGGGGTCAGCACAGGCATCAACATCCCCAAAGGGATGGAACCAAGCAGCCTATTGCCCAGGTATTCACTAACAGGCAGCCCATCCTCAGCCTCATAGCTGGCAGGGGTGAAGAAAGGGTACTTTGGGTCCCAATTTTTTTTTTTTTTTTTTTTTTTGAGACAAGAGTCTTGCTCTGTCACCCAGGTTGGAGTGCAATGGTGCGGCCTCAGCGCACTACAACCTCCACCTCCCGAGTTCAAGAGATTCTCCTGCCTCAGCCTCCTGACTAGCTGGGACTACAGGTGTGTGCCACCAAGCCTGGCTAATTTTTGTGTTTTTAGTAGAGATGTGGTTTTGCCATGTTGCCCAGGCTGGTCTCGAACTCCTGGGCTCATGCAGTCCACCCACCTCAGCCTCCCAAAGTGCTGGGATTACATGTGTGAGCCACTGCACCCAGTCTCTGTTTACAAATTTATCACTAGCTTCATCCCGTAAGGTTATAAGCTCCAAGAGGGTGGGAAGTCTGTATTGTTCACCTCTGTATCCTGAGCATCTAGAACATAGCCTGGCACACAGTAGGTGCTCAAGTACTTGAATCTGTTAATGTAGAAAGCATGCTTCATCTAACTGAAGTGCCTTGCACAGAATAAGCTCTCAATAAATGAACTGTGGACACATGGAAGGGTGAGCTAGAGCTCTGCTCAGGGGTTGAGTGCTCCTCTCGTGCCCTTGCGGTTGTCTGGTTACCTGAACTAATTGGAGTGCGATACAGTCAGTCATGGAGTGAGACAGCAGAACTTTGCTGTCTGGTTTGTGAGCCCACACCAGGGGTTCTAGGCTGGCTGGTTGACATGGTGGCCCCAGCCCGTCTCTTCAGCAGCTCGGCTTATAAAAAATAACCACCACCTACTGGGGAAAACTGCTGGAACCTTCAGACTGCCAAATTGTTCTTGGTGTCTTTTCCAGAAATATTTGCCAAACTAGCCTTCAGGGGATTTGATAAAATCCCCTGAGGTCAAGAGACCATGTTGAAGTCAAGAGACCAAAAGATTTTGATGGGGAGGATTAGGGGCTGGATATAGAGGGAATACTTAACCTGTATAGGGGCAGATATGGTTGTCCATGGACATTCTGATGTCAAAAAGTACGATGGCGGCTGGGCACAGTGGCTCACGCCTGTAATCCCAATACTTTGGGAGGCCGAGGTGGGTGGATCACCTGAGGTCAGGACTTCGAGACCAGCCTGAACAACATGGAGAAACCCCATCTCTACTAAAAATACAAAATTAGCTGGGTGTGGTGGCACATGCCTGTAATCCTAGCTACTCGGGAGGCTGAGGCAGGAGAATCACTTGAACCCAGGGAGGCAGAAGTTGTGGTGAGCTGAGATCGTGCCATTGCTCTCGAGCCTGGGCAACAAGAGTGAGATTCCGTCTAAAAAATAAACAAATAAATAAGCACGATGGGAGAAAGGGGAGAGGGTAGTGGGGCCTGGAAACCTTATGACAAAGAGAATGAACACAAGAGGGCCTGTGGTCCTGTAGACTGTGCTGGGCACATCCCTCATGTGAGCGTGGGCCATCCAGCTGCAGGCCATGGTGTGACACGCTCTGCAGATTACAGCCTGGGGCTTCATGTTCCATGTGCTGCAGGTAAGGCTGGGCCTCTTGGAGCTTTCCAATAGCACCAACAAGCTGTCAGCCCTGGAGGAGGCCTAAACTTCCAAGCAGGGAAAGGTCAAGGTCACAGAGGGAGGAATCACTGGTCTCTGAATGCTCATGTGTTTGCTTTTCTTCACAGCTTGGGAAACAGAAGAAAAAATATATGCCGTACAACCACCAGCACAAATACTTCTTCCTGAGTGAGTGTCCCCATCCAACACAGGGGAACTGCCTCAGGAGGGAATGCTGAGGGAATGAGGAGGATGTGGCTCTCCAAGGGATTATGGTATTTTAAGGAAAGAGGCTACAGGAAGTACCCCACCCCCACCCCCATTACTCCCTGCTTGAGAGCAGTTTGCCATTTCAACTGAGCGAAGTGAAGTTAGGCTGATGATTGGCTGAAGGTTATTTGGTTGGGGGCAAACTAGTTCCTCCCATCCAACCCCAGTTTCCACTAGGAAGCTGGGTGTTTGGAGTGTAGACAGGCCTTTTGCTTTACCCTCAATCTTATCTTAAACTTTGTCAAGATGGGCCAAGGTAAACTGGTAGAGCCCAGTCCAACCGCCAGAGGAACAAAGGTACGGATAGTTCTGGAAGGATGGGTCCTGAGGAGACAGGAATTGCTGTTAGAACTGCGAAGATCTTTCTGATGACTCCATATATTCCCAGCTTTAAAAGTCTGTCCCAGCTACTAGGGAAACTGAGGTGGGAGCATCCTTTGAGCCCAGGAGTTTGAGGCTGCAGTAAGCTCTGATTGTGCCACTGCACTCCAGCCTGGGCAATGGAGTGAGATCCTGTTTCTTAAAACAACAACTCTGCTCCATAATGCCTAAAATGAGCTTTAAAAGCCTTTAAATTTTCAAATTTTTTAAAGAAGGAAGGGAAGGAGTCCACTGATCTTATTTTAGTTTGAAGGAATTCATCCTAACTGCCTATCACCAACTATCACTAATAGAGAAAGGTGGATGGGGCAGAAGGGTAGAGCAGAGACCTCTGGAATAAATGATTTTAGAATCCATGGCACATCAAGATGGAGGAGCCGTGGGTGGTCATTGTCATGCTAGGAGTTATGGGTAGCATCAGGTGCCACAGAGAAGGGCTACAGAAAAGGAAATGAGGCAGCATGTAGAATGCAACACTTCTTCAACTCCCAGTTTTCTTTCAAGAGAGACCCCTCAGTTCCTTCCCACGACTGACCTCCAGGGCTTCAGATTGGGGTGGCACAAGCGCATCTCCCTAGTCTAAGGAAGTGAGCTTCACAGCCTGTGAAGGATCCACAGGGTCCTTCCCAACACACACACACTTTCCTGCTCCTGCTCCTTCACCTGCATGGTGGAGCTGCCAGGAACAAAGGGCAGATGACTGTAGGGACAGGACTGTGGCCAAGGTAAGTAAGAGAGTATTGGCCCCCTTTTAAAGGTGTGGGATCCATGGAGTGTGTATATAGGAAAGTGAAGAAAAATGAAAAATAATAAAGGTGTGGGAGCAGAGCAAGTCCCATGCGTGAGGCCTGAGTTCCCAGGCTGCCTGTCACTGAAGAGTGCCACTCACGCCCCTCACCTTCCCTGGCATCCTCTTAAGAGTTTTTGCCCTCCCCATACTTGGATTTATGCCCACCTTCGGTGCCTGCTGGTTCCAGTGGATTGCAGAGCACTCAAGCAGCTGGAGGGGAGACAGAAGGGATGATCGGAAGAGGCAGTCCCCTGCTAGAGGCCATCTCTCCAGCATCAACTGGCCCTTTCATGACTGTCTTGTGCTCACGCCTCCTCTTTGTCTTGGTTTCCTCCCCAGTTGGGCCCCCAGCCTTGGTGCCTTTCTTCTTCCAGTGGTATGTTTTCTATTTTGTTATCCAGCGAAAGAAGTGGGTGGTGAGTATCCATGACCCAAGAAGCCCACATCCTTGTCTCCAGCACCCAGAGTAGGGGATGGGGATTCCCCAGGGGAAACTGAGGCTGACTCCAGGCCTAATTTAGAGCAAACTAATAGAAGCAGACACAGATCCTTGCCTTCTCTAAGTGGGACAAAATGATTTGAGCTTAGCAGGCAGCCTGATTCCCAGTGTTCAATTTCATGCAGCCAGTGTCTCCAGAGGTTCTTGTACTGGGCATAATGCCACGGGGCTGAGTTGGGAATGGGCAAGATGAATGATAATACCTACTTTCAAGGAAACTTCTGAAGCAGAATGTGGTTGTTAAATCAGAAAAGAGGTACAGGTAATAGGTTCTGGGGACTCCAAAAGGGGCCTGACTGCACGCTTTGTAAAGTCACTTTTCTAGCTGGCCTTGAGGCTGGGTGGGGTTTCTGACAGGCAGAGGTGGGGCAGTGGGGATGAACTTCAAGCAGAAAAGCTGGAAATGAGGGGTAAGTCTGACCACCAGACATATTGTGGAGGACTAGTGTCAGGGGAAGAGTATGGTGCTTGGTTCAGTGTACAGAAAAGCAATGAGAGGGCCGGGCGCGGTGGCTCAAGCCTGTAATCCCAGCACTTTGGGAGGCCGAGACGGGCGGATCACGAGGTCAGGAGATCGAGACTATCCTGGCTAATACGGTGAAACTCCGTCTCTACTAAAAAAATACAAAAAAAAAAACTAGCCAGGCGAGGTGGTGGGCGCCTGTAGTCCCAGCTAATCAGGAGGCTGAGGCAGGAGAATGGCGTAAACCCGGGAGGCGGAGCTTGCAGTGAGCTGAGATCCCGCCACTGCACTCCAGCCTGGGTGACAGAGACAGACTCCGTCTCAAAAAAAAAAAAAAAAAAAAAAAAAAAAAGAAAAGCAATGAGAGATTTCATCAGGGCACTGGCATGGACCGAGCCATGGTCCTGGAAGATTCATGATTCATTTGGCAGCATGCTGAAGGATTTAGATTGTATGGGAAGAGCTAGAGGCAAGGAGACCTTGTAGGCCTTGGTACTTTTGAAGGGGACAGCAAGAAGAGCTGGGGGGTGCCAATGGGAAGGGAAGAAAGGAGCAGTGGCACTAGATATTGCAGGATTGGACCCCTGAGAAGCTGAAGACAACTGAGTCTGGATACCCAGGAGAATGGCTGCACCATACAAAGAAAGAGCTGGTGACAGGAAGAGAAGAGCTGTTCGTGACTGTTATGCTCACTGCTTTCCTCACTATAGGACTTGGCCTGGATGATCACCTTCTACATCCGCTTATTCCTCACTTATGTGCCACTATTGGGACTGAAAGCCTTCCTGGGCCTTTTCTTCATAGTCAGGTAGTATTTGGTGGGGGCAGGTAGGGACTGGTGAAAGAAATGTTGGGGAGTGACCAGTCTGGTCTAGGGGCCATGCTGGGGCTTTGGGTAACAGTGGGTGTTTCAGGAGTTGGCTTGGGAAAGTAGATAGGCTGGAGCAGTTATCTGAGGGGGAAATCAGAATTCTGGGCTCTGTGTATACTGTTTTTGTCTGTGTAACATTCAACAGGTTCCTGGAAAGCAACTGGTTTGTGTGGGTGACACAGATGAACCATATCCCCATGCACATTGATCATGACCGGAACATGGACTGGGTTTCCACCCAGGTAAGGGACAGTCACTCAGAAGACTAGAGCGTAACATAACTATTGAAAAGGGTGGGTAGGTGAAAATAGCAAAAACAAAAAGTCCCCCAAACAGCATTTTCTCATTAGCCTGAGGCTCTTGTTCTGCTACCATGTGAAGGGAGTGACCAAGACAGTCTCACGTCCCTGCCTCACCCAGCTTTACCTGGAGAATGCTGGGCTGGCCTTTCCATCTGATACTCAACATGCTCTCCCCTGACCTTTTCCTCCAGCTCCAGGCCACATGCAATGTCCACAAGTCTGCCTTCAATGACTGGTTCAGTGGACACCTCAACTTCCAGATTGAGCACCAGTGAGTAGGGAGCCTGGGGAAGCAGGGTCCTGGGGAGGGTATAAGTGTAGGGTACAGGTGGGAGCAGAGAAGCAGGAACTACTGACTCCCTGCTGTTCGTTCTCCCTCAAGTCTTTTTCCCATGATGCCTCGACACAATTACCACAAAGTGGCTCCCCTGGTGCAGTCCTTGTGTGCCAAGCATGGCATAGAGTACCAGTCCAAGCCCCTGCTGTCAGCCTTCGCCGACATCATCCAGTGAGTATCTGAGCCCAAGAAGATGGCTGGTAGGGAGGGAGGAGGGCAGGGCAATGGAAATGATGACATGTAGGGTGGAGAGTGAACAGAAGGTGTTCCCAGTCGTGTGGGATGGAGTTCACCATGGCAAAGGCAGGATTCTTTATTGGTCCTGTGGCCAGGTCAGGCCTTTGCCCTCACTGGGGTTCCCCTCAGTACCATGGCCCAAGCTAGCTTTCTCTAAAGTAGAGGGGAGGAAAGCCTCCAGCTGGAAGAAGGCTTTAACCTCACTGCTGCATCTCTGGTGGGTTCAGCTCCGCTTGCCTCCCTCACTGTCTGCCCCCATTTTGTTCCTGCAGCTCACTAAAGGAGTCAGGGCAGCTCTGGCTAGATGCCTATCTTCACCAATAACAACAGCCACCCCGTCCAGTCTGAAAGAAGAGGAGGAAGACTCTGGAGCCAAAGCAGAGGGGAGTTTGAAGGACAATGCCACTGTAGTTTAATACTCAGAAGGGGGTGGGTTTGGGGACATAAAGGCTCTGACTCAAACTCCTCCCTTTTATCTTCTAGCCACAGTTCTAAGACCCAAAGTTTGGTGGACACAGAAGCCCCCAGAAGGAGGGAAGGAGCTGTTGGGGCAGGGGTGTAAATTATTTCCTTTTTCTAGTTTGGCACACACAGGTGGTTGGTGAACAGAGAGAACCAGGAGGGCAACAGAAGAGGAGGGACCTACTGAACCCAGAGTCAGGAAGAGATTTAACACTAAAATTCCACTCATGTCGGGCATGGTGGCTCACACCTGTAATCCCAGCACTTCGGGAGGCCGAGGCAGACAGATCACAAGGTCAGGAGTTCGAGACCAGCCTGACGTAGGGAAACCCTGTCTCTACTAAAAAGAGAAAAATTAGCCGGGTGTGGTGGCGCACGCCTGTAATCCCAGCTACCCAGGAGGCTGAGGCAGGATCATCTCTTGAACCAAGGAGGTGGAGGTTGCAGTGAGCTGAGATCACGCCATTGTACCCCAGCCTGGGCGACACAGCAAGACTCCATCTCAAAAAAAAAAAACCAAAAATCCACTCATATAAAGGGTGAGCTCAGCTCACTGGTCCACTTCTCAGTGCCTTCTCCATCCTCACTGGCAAACCTCAGAGGGATAAAGCAGTTGAACCTGATGAGCAAGAATTATAACAGCAAGGAATCATTAATGCTTATAATTCTGAGGTCAGCACAACTCAGTCTCTAGGAGCTCAGCTCACTGCCCAGGGATAGGTATGACCTAGGTCTGCCTTAGGCTGCTGGTAGAAGCCATTCTCCAGTTTCAGAAGCAGGAAGGGCAAAAGTCAATACTGTGGTATTGGAGTCTTTTGGCTCTGAAGGATCCTGGAACCACTGATTTTGTTTTATTCCCTCCAGGGTCTAAAGAGAACAAGAGGTGCTAGCTCTTACCAAAACAGATGGTAGAGAGTTGCTGGCTATTTAAAAGCCCTTTCATCTTTTAATTCACTTCTTCTTTTCACTTCTTAACCATCCAACAGGAACAGAACACTCCTAGGCTGGGAGTCTTACTTTTAGCTCCATAAGCAAATGAGCAGATGGGACAAGTTAGTCTTTTCTCCCTAGAAACAAAGGGGATGCCTGGTGGTTTCCCTTTGCTTCCCAACCTAAAATTTCAAGTTTAATAAAACAGCAGTTAGCATAAGTGACCAAATTGGGAGATAATTATCAGTCATGAGGAAAGATACACATTTCAGTCATAAAGAATGTAAGGGCTATAAGCACAAACTTTCTATAACCTAAATGATGTTATAGCATTAGTATTTTTTAGCAGGAGCAGAAAGATTAAATATGATCACTTCATACTTCTAAATCAGAAATAAGAAGATTAAAACCACAGAACAGTTTGTGACTGCCGTTGCTATAGCTAGGTATCTTACTCTGTCCACTCTTGTTCAAGTATCTAACTCTTCTGGAGACCAAATAGGCTTTAGAAGAGATTATCCTAAATTCCTATCAGTGTAATACTAAAATGTAACTTTTTAATCACCTGGTTTTTAAAAGATAAACACAATTTAGCCCATCTCTCCAGAGAGCAAACATAGGAATATGCCTCGGGAGCCTTTACTCCCTGGGTTTATCATCAGCCCTCCGTCTCCCCCTCCAACCCAGAGCCTTTGCTTCCAGGTCGGGGAATTCTTTGACTCTTCAGCAGCATCTACTCTAGGCGTATTGATCACTTTGGACACTGGGAGAAGAACCTCAAACTAGGAAGAAAAGACAGAGCCTACATTTAGTTTTGGGAGGGGATGGCAGACAGCAAGGAGATGAGCATCCTAAGGCATGCTGGGATAGGGTCAGAGGCACCACCCATGGAGAGGTTTGTCAACACAAAGACACAGGAAGAATGGGCAGCAGAAGATTTAGATGTTTTCCATTTGGGCACATTTAACTTAGCTGGATAACTTGGTTTAAAACAGCCTGGGTAGGAAAATTAGAAGCAAGCTGGGTGCAGTGGCTCATGCCTGTAATCCCAACACTTTTGGGAGGTCCAGGCAAGAGGATCGCTTGGGCCCAGGAGGTCAAGCCTGCAATGAGCTGAGATCACCACTGCACTCCAGCCTAGGGTAACAGAACAAGACCCTGTCTCAAAAAAAAGAAAAAAAAAAAAAAAAAAAATAGAAGCAGAATTGAGGAGCTATACCTCATTGGCTTCCTGACTCCAAAATAGGTGCTGATCCTTCCTATTTGCCGCCTAAGGTTTGTGTGTGGTGTCACCAGCCTGTTTAGCCAAATGGCTTTGGGCCCAGGCTGCCCAATCTGAGCAAACACCAGTGAGGCTCTATTGAGCCAAGACCAGGTCCTCAAAGCACCTGAACCACTGTGGCCTTCTCAGCCTACAGCACGGTGGTCTCTCACATGGCCACAAAGGGACACACAGTGACAAAAGGCTCAGAATGTTACAGTGGTAAAATGAGTGATCTCAAATCTACTGACAGATGTAAAATAGGCTTAGAAAGAAAAAGCTGCCTCTGGTCAAATAGATCACGGCAGAACGAATTCCAACTCACGTTTTTACAACTCCAACTTCTATGTTTATCTTGGTTCATTTTTTTTATAACCTGGCCAGAGGCATTTTTTAAATCAGGCCCAATATCAGTATCCTTTTTGTGTGTGCCAATTTTGTTATCACATCCCTGTGAAGTTGAAAAATAAAAGTTAATTTTGACCAAAAGACTTCATTGTAACCCATGATGTTCCTCTGTGTGCGCAGGATTCCTGAGTGCCTCTGCTACAAGTTACTGTTCACCTCTCTGTGCTCTTTAATCACTAGACTCCCCTTTGTATAAGTTCCTTGGGCAGAGGAAGGAACATCAGGACCCTCGAGAAAACACCAAGGCAAGGGTGGAGTATGGCAAGGAAGAGGAAGGCAAACTCCTGATGACTCCCGTGTTCAAATGTGAGATTGTCAGTAATCTCACGAAGTTTCACATGTATCACTTCCTCCTATTCATGAGGCAATGCCCTTGCCCTTTTGTCCTTCAGCTTTCCATTCTGAATTATTTTCTCTTTATTTTTACTTACTTGTTTTGAGACAAGGTCTGGCTCTATGATCCAGGCTGGAGTGCAGTGGTGCTGCCATCTCTGTTCACTGCAATCTCTGCCTCCCAGCCTCAAGTCATCTTCCTACCTCAGGCTAATCGTTTTTGTTTTATTTTGTTTTTGAGACCAGAGTTTCACTCTTGTTGCCCAGGCTGGAGTACAGTGGCATGATCTCAGCTGATTGCAACCTCCGCCTCCTGGGTCCAAGCAATTCTGTTTCAGCCTCCCGGGTAGTTGGGATTACAAGCATGCGCCACCACGCCCAGCTAATTTTTTATTTTTGGTAGAGACAGGGTTTCACCATGGTGGCCAGGCTAATTTTTTATTTTTGGTAGAGACAGGGTTTCACCATGGTGGCCAGGCTGGTCTTGAACTCCTGACCTCAGGTGATCCACCCACCTCGGCCTCCCAAAGTGCTAGGATTACAGGCGTGAGCCACTGTGCCTGGCCTCTCTTTACTTTTAAACTCATTTCTAGTTTCCAAATAGTCTCCCTAAGTCCTATCTGCCTACATTCTTTCTCTGCAAGTGTGATCCCTCAGAGCTGGACTGCAGAGCAATGCTTCTTAACCATCCAACTAAGACAGCTCTCCTGAGCAAAAACATTTGTAGGCATCATTAATCTTCCGTGCAGTGTGTACACAGAAAGTTAGATTAACAAAATTCTATAGGAGACAAACTTACCTTCAAAAGACAAAAGAAAACCACTACAATCTTGACTACCACAGGGTATAAGCCCTTAATTATCAAGAGTTACTGCACTGAGGCAATAACTTCTAAGAAATCTTAACATTTCGCCAGTCAAGGTGGCTCATCCTGTAATCCCAGCACTGGGAGAGGATGGCACACGCAATCCTAGCCTTTAGGAGGCCGAGGCAGGAGGATTGCTTGAGCCCAGGAGTTCAAGACCAGCCTGGGCAACAGTGAGATCCCATCTCTACAAAAAATTGAAAAATTATCTGGACATGGTGGCCTGAGACTGTAATCACAGCTGCTTGGGAGGCTGAGGTGGGAGAATCGCTTGAGCCCAGGAGGTTAAGGCCAAGATCACACTACTGAACTCCAGCCTGGGTGACAAGAGAGACTCTATCTCAAAAAAAAAAAAAAAAAAAAAAAAGGGCCAGGCACGGTGGCTCACGCCTGTAATCCCAGCACTTTGGAAAGCCAAGGCGAGCAGATCACGAGGTCAGGAGCTCGAGACCGTCCTGGTTAACACAGTGAAACCCTGTCTCTACTAAAAATACAAAAAAATTAGCCAGGTGTGGTGGCAGGAGCCTGTCGTCCCAGCTACTCGGTAGGCTGAGGCAGAAGAATCGCTTTAACCCAGGAGGCGGAGTTTGCAGTGAGCGGAGATCGCGCCATTGCACTCCAGCCTGGGTGACAGAGTGAGACTCTGTTTCAAAAAAAAAAAAAAAAAGAAATCTTACCATCTTTACATCTTTAGTTCTTATCACTACTACTGCAGATTTAGAAGCAATCTACCTGAATCAGAAAATAGAGCTCAAATAAGTTGTGTGGCTTGGTATAATCTGGGAAAATCAGTTTCAAAAGTTACCTGCCCTTGGGATAGAACTTTTTGTCAGCATCAGAGTTTTCAAAAAGTACCCTAGTTATGAAGCCATTGTTGGGTAAACTTTATCCCATTCCAGCTTCAACCAGAGGCACTTGTATATCCTGAAATTTCACATAAGATTACACTTGAAGAATAGGTTTCTCCATTAAAAAACTTGAAAACTACTGGTCTTCAGGCTCCCTAACTGTTTAATCTGTCAAGACATTGCCAGCTTAAATTTCGGACAGTTACGTAAGTGTCCATGTTAACTTCAAATGGCCCTGACAGGAATGCTAAAACATCAGACATTCAAATGGGCCAGTTCCCCAACAAGCTTTCTCAGGATTATAAAACTTCCAAAGTTTGGCCGGGTGCGGTGGCTCAAGCCTGTAATCCCAGCACTTT